GAAACAAGTAATAAAAAATTTAAAACAATAAGTATGGTGTAGGGATGACAAAGCCAAAAAGTACAGAAGCAAGATAGGGATGAATACACAAAACCATACAAAAATCCCTACATAAGTAGCCAGTAAGTACTGAGTGAATCTTACAAGCATATTGTTATTAGCCACTGTAAGACTGTATAGCACTATTCAGTTAAATGTTTTTATTCAATCCTGAATTCTTGCAACTGACAGAAATTCAACATTTAGTTATAAATAAAAGATATTCTTGGAAAGATTTGGCTAGTTATGTGATGATATTTGTATGGTTTTGTGTATTCATCCATACGTTGCTTCTGTACTATTTGGCATTACCATCCCTACATCATATTTAGTTTTTGATATTTTTTTATTACTTGTATTAATAAGCTTTTATTTATTGTGACATTAGGTTGAAAAGAAAAGGTAATGTTGAACGGATGTACCAAACCATTGGTACTACAGATAAGCATGTGATTTTCTTTTTTACTTTTTTTGGCAGAGACATTCTCTGGCAGAAGAAAAGATGACGATTTTTTGTATACGTAAATACAATAATATATAGGCCTGATATTTATTCCCTTCCATACTAATAAGTATATGTTTTGTATTGTTAAAATCATCGGATATTTAGTAGTAAACAATTAGCTTTGAGACATATGTTGGTGGCAACTAGATGTCTACAGGTGAAAGAGAACGAATGCGCAAACGGAAAAGTATAAATACCAGCTCGGTAAGAAAATACTAATTGAATTCCTTTTAAGCCCCTGTTAACCTGCAGTTAGCTTCACAGCCAAAAAAACCATTAGATTTAAAAAAAATGCTGTTATTAAGCACAATTTCGGATATGGATTATCTGTATTGTGCCCGTCGAATTCTGAAATTTGGCGTTATGACTCCACAAGTTTAGCACTGGGCGTATAGCACTGAGTGGACGTATAGATTAAAACCAGCACTCAACAATAAACGACACTAACCAATCATAAAGTGTAACGAGATGGAAATTGCGAAGATAACAGAAATCGTAAACAAGATCTTGTCATAAACATTTTCATCATATCCCAACTTACTTTTCCATACAGTATTCAACTATTATTATTATTACTTGATCATGTCTAATATGAACAAAATGTACATACGTATCAGAGTAAAATGTTGACGGACTCGAAACTATTCACTTTATATCACGACTTATGCTCTGTATAGTAGTTTAATAACGTTTCCATAGAAAAGTCCATCTCCCGGAAAGCTCACTTTCCTCTTCTAAGTTAAAATAGATAACGATAACTTTAACGTACTCGTTATACTTATGTTTTTATTCCGGCAGAAAAACGTCGATACTTACTGTGGCGTTCATAGATCAAAATATTTTGGCTGCTGCATTGTTTCGTCACTGTTGCTGTACTGCCAAGTTATTATGCAGTCAAACAGTACAGCTACCAAAATATCAGAACATATATTTTGAATAAAGCTACCAAAATATTAATTTGTATTTTTAAATAAAACTCATTCTACATTCCAATTTACTCTGCTCCTACCAACACTACAGAAGGAAGCTAACACTACACAGCAAGTAGAAATATTTCTCCAGATTCTATCATGAATATTTTCCTCTACCTGTCACAATAAGAGTAACATATAATCATAATATACTTGTGCATGTGTGTCTGGCTTGTTTTAGTTTATTCGTGCAGTGTTTCATAGACAGTTTCATAATACATTATCCATACGAGCGTTATACGCATTATCGATCAAACTCATCATTCTTAATGTTCTTTTGATCTCAGACTTTTGAGAGACTAGGTGAAGAAAATAGCGATACCATAAAGTATCTAGTTCGATGACGAGGAACCCACTTTGAGACTAATAATGGCTGGAGACGGCTTAAATGGGTAATGAAGAAAAACTTTAATATAAGTT